TTTTTTTTTTTTTTTGGAGTTTGGTTTGGTCAAACCTCCTTATTTCCACTTCGGATTTTCAACAATTGTATATTTTCATAATGTCATTTTGAGTGTTAAAAGATAAAGATTCCCTTAAATATGTTAATACAATTATAAAAAAATATTTTATTTTCAAATAAGTAAAAAATAATAAATACAAATGTACAACAAAATATTTGGATAGAGATGTTATCAGAAACAAGTGTGCTAATTAAGTAGAAGTTAATTATAAGCAAATATTAAAGTTTTTTATTACGATTAAAATATAGTGCATTGTCCAAACGCCAAAATTGTGGTTTGAATATGTACGTAGAACGTTTCCAAATGACTTAAGCCTCTATCTGCAATCATTCTTTCGAAACTTTTTTTTTCGTACTCATTTTCAACTACACATTCTCACAATAAAGTATTCTTCAGGTAAATCCAAAATTTTTACCTGTTTTTTAATTACACATTTTCCAAATATTTACTATTCAGAAAATCATTCTATACAAAAAAAATGGCTATCAAACAGACACTTAATTAATATTTATTGGAAAAAATAAAATAAAGAGCCAAAATAATAGAAAGCATTGTTGCTTGCAGTGTATAAAAAAATTATTTTCTAAAAATAAATGTATAATGCTTATTATTACTTGTTTGGGATCGCTTAAAAATTTTGATAAAAAATTAAATTCAAAATTAATAATGAATTTTAATTACATATTTTATCAATTTTTATCAAAATCTACTAAATTTTTTATCATTTTTCTTTTCAAATAACATATACGTGGGTTGCTATGTATAAAGGCTAAATATATTCATACCACATTTTTCTTATAAGTGCCTTAGTGCCCTATATTTTACTTGTATGAAAATCTTTATTTGTCGTCAAAGTTATCCTTAAAACTTTTTTTTCCTTTTATTGTTATCTTGAATCTTTCATTAATTAGTACGTATTGTCCATGATAACGATTTTTGTTCCCATTTATTTAGTGCAAACATTTCACTAATTGATGAAAGGTTAATGATAAGTATGTGAGAAAAAAAAAATTAACGTAAATATAACAATGAATAGAGAATAGGATCAACAATAAATTAAAATGTGGTGTATTTATAAGCATGGGCAGACCCATGAGGTCAAGTGACCCCACAAAAATTTTGACCTTTTTTTTTTTTAATTCTAGTTTTTTTTTTTTTAAAAAAAACTATTTTTTTTTTTTAATTCTAGTTTTTTTTTTTTTTTGAAAAAAAGAGTAGACTTCTTGCTTCCACTTAATGAGTGTCCGTTTTGTTAGTTTATCTGATTATCCATTTGTAAGTGAAATGAAAATAGTTTTGGCTTTAGAAATTCTTCAAATATGAATTTGGTGGAGAAGAAATAAAGAGAAAATGATTCAAACATAGAAGAATCTTTGCAGTTTCTAAATTCTTTTTGGACATTTTGGAGCAGTAAAAATCTCGAGCAACGGTGAAGTTTTCAAGTTTAAGATCTTAGTTTACGTGTTGGATCCTTACAGTCTTTAGAGGTCTAATGTTTGATTTTATTCGCCGTATATGATATTTTATTAAAATTAATAAGCAGATTATTTTCTTTTTATGTACTGTATATTTGATTTTATATGATTTGGAGGGTTGAATGTAATTGAGAAGATGAGGGCAGCGTTGGAGGATTTTTTGGAGCTCAAGATTCAGGTAATTTCAAAGTTTAATGAAATTTGATCTCATAGGCATAATTGGATTGGTTTGCCTACAATTTTCAATTTTAGTTTCTCGTAAAATATGAAAATGTGTAGGTTACAATTGTAATAGTGTATTCACTTATTTTCATTAATCTTATGTTGTTTTAAAAAAAAAAAAAATTCATATTTTGTATTTTTTTATCCCACAATACAAACAGTTGGTGAAAAGGTAAATAGAGGGTGCAACCATTTACATTCACAATTATTATATATTCATCTCATTCTACATTCTTTTCCATTAAAATATTAAAATTTTTAAAAAAATCACTATTTTCATCCACTTCAAATTTCCTTATTAAATTCATTTATTTTCAGCAAAACAAATAAATAAATCCTATTCAAACCCTAAACCTGCGTGAAGGAAACTGGGAACGCGAATAATTAAAGATTCAAACCTAATTTTTTCTGGAATTGAACAATGTTGAGGAGAATCAGAGATAGATACAAGAACTGGAGAGGAGAAAATGGAACTAATTTCTGAAGTGCAATTACTGATTTTTATAATAGTGCCGGGAAAATGATTTTCAATTTGGAGCCCTTTGTTATTTTATAATTGCTATACTGTGTCTAGTTTGCTGTAGATTTCTGAATCAGGCTCAATCAGCTGTTGGAGCACTGTCAGAATTTGCAACCACAAACTGGACATCAAACCTGTCGACACAAATACCCATGATCGCATTAGCTTCAAATCTATGAAAATCGTGCAGATGACTGTAGGTCAATGGTGTGTTGATTTCATCAAAGGGGGAAAAGGAATGGAAATATATACTAGTGGATAAATTTTGAGTGATATATTTTTCCTTAATTTTATATATGTCTATTCAAATAAATTTACATGAAATTAAAAATATAATAATTTTTTTTATTCTAAAGGTGTATATATATATATTTATATATATATGGCGGCTACCGGGGAGTTAATTCTGAATTCCATGCTTCAGATCATTAATGAATCACAATTTTTTTGGTAATTCTTTATCTTCCTCTTCATAGATGTCTGACTGGTTAACGCTTGTTCAATCTTCAGATGATTTCGTTTCGCATTATGCAATTAGGTTTAGGGTTTCAGTTCTGGGGCTTCATCAATCCGAACTATTTCTTTTATCGCAATTCGTTTGGATTTTGAGTTGAACTGGTTTATTTCGATGGGACTTTGAGCCAGGTAAATTACATTCTAGGAGGACTTCAGTTAGAGACTAAAGACACCACAATTATCAAATTTCTGTCTTCCCAAAAATACAATATATATTTTCTTGGCTTATTTTTTGGGATTAATTTTTCGGCGCAGGCAACCCCTGTTCAGAATTTCATCTATGCTTTATTAAGCAATGGGATGCACCGAAGCAGAAGTGGGATCCAGAGGAAGAAGCAGCTCCGACGGCTGGAGTCTTTAAGAATGGGCAAGGGAAATGGCCGACAATTCTCAAAGACCCACAATTCAGTCGTAATCTGCGATCCAACATTGATCTGAGATTCTGAAAGGTTAAAAATCCTTCGTTATATTGATGTTATTGGCAGCTGTTGGGCACGTTTGGTTTAATTGTGCGGTTCATTGTCTTTCGACAAGGTTTTTTTTTATTGGTAAATGTAAATTCTATTGATAAAAAATTCATGTACAAGTATACTAGGCATACCCGGACAAAACAAAGATGTACAAACAACAAAAATCTATCAATCCAACACTAGAGACTCAAAACGAACCTAAACATTATGATAACAGATAACATGACTTTGTATGTATGTGTTTTAATCCGCCTCATAATGCTATCAATATATGGTCTAAGATCCTAAAAAATCATTATATTCCACGCCATCCAAATTTGGTAGACCGTGCAAGCAAGTGCGTTTTTCTTGGCTTTAGATTGTCAAGATGTGCCTCGGGCTTCTTTCTTCATCCACTTCAATGCACAAAGTATTGTCATCGTTGACCTCCTCATTCCGAACCAACCTTTGATATGTCCCAAGATGCTTGAAGTCCAAACACGCTGAAAAAATAAGTGCTGACTTGTTTCAAGTTGTGAACCACAAAAGAAATACATCCTGTCAATGTTTAGATGCATCAACTTATCCTTCGTAAGAAGCTTAGAAAGTTAGACTGCGCAGCCAACCACAGCATGAAGGAGTGTTTTGGAGTGATGTTAGGACTCCAAATCTCCCCCGTCTAGGTCCTTATCTCCCCCTTCTGCCTAAAAAACTGATATGCACTATCCATGCAAAAACGGCCAGAAGCTGTCCATTTGGACAACCTATGAACAGCAGCTTGGTCAGTGAGTTTCGGCTCTCTAAGCTGATTTTGAATGTCCAACAGCTTCTTGATCAAAGGAGAGTGATCTTTCTTTACCATACACTCCCGTATACTAGCCCCGCGGAAGTAAATTTGATTAATCCATTTAATCCATAGCGTGTCTTCTCGCTATGGATATTCCAAAGGGACTTTGAAAGAAGTGCTGATGGTAAACCACGTCTTACGATAGGTGGAGGAACATTAGTGTGAGGGTGAATGAATGTGACTCCAGGGAGAGGGTCAGGTTAACATTCAAGATGATGGTCAGGGATCAGTCTCCTAAGCTTTGTGAGAGCTCTATGGGGATCTTAGTACCATAGCTCAANAAACAACTTATACAATCATATTACATTAGACGAAGTTATGCAGATCTTGTAAAAAACTAGGAAAGTTACATGGTCTTCAAATAGTTAATGTAAGCAGCCCAAAATCCATAATTTGAACCTTTGCGAAAGGAAGAATCATTGCATTGAATTCCTTAGGGCATAATCTAATTTTAGTAAACTACGCAGAATTTCCGAACATTTAGAGCCTGTCTGGCCCAGATTATTCCAGCCAAATAATTGATTTTCTTCCCGTTGCAGCCTACAAAATTTGACCATTTATCTCTGCAGTGGGACCTACAGATCTCCTCCAACGTTTTAAAAAGTGATTTTCCTACCCAATTTCTGTGCTCCCAGACAGCCTCTACTAAATGTTCGGAAATTCTGCGTAGTTTACTAAAATTAGATTATGCCCTAAGGAATTCAATGCAATGATTCTTCCTTTCGCAAAGGTTCAAATTATGGATTTTGGGCTGCTTACATTAACTATCTGAAGACCATGTAACTTTCCTAGTTTTTTACAAGATCTGCATAACTTCGTCTAATGTAATATGATTGTATAAGTTGTTTTGCATATCTCATGTCGTGAATTTTTGGTTCTATACTTCTATCTATTAAAATCTTGACAAGGGCTATGAATTTTATTTTAGTTGTAGCTGGTGTTCATATATCCGAACTGCCTATGATTGGTTACAGACGAAAATATCTTCTTTTCTTTGTTTAGGCTGGATAATCTTACAGTAGAGGCTGTAAACAGTTTGAGAGAATCTGTTGGTACTAACAAGACAACTATAGCTGCATATATAAAGGTATTGCCTTTTTTTATTGATCTATACAATCTTGTCAGATATTTATAATTCTTCTAGTCTATAAGCTGTCTATTAGATGTGTATATATGTGCTTTAAACTTTTCTGCTACTCCCATGTTTCTCAATACTATGCTCACCAACCGCAATACATTGTCTACATACTCCATTATGATAAAGGCAGGTATCTCTAATGATTATGGCCCTTACATTGCTGAAATCGCTTCGTGACTTGTATTTTCCTCATCACAAAATTTTCCAATATAGTAATGAACATGTTAACCAAATTAAATGAGAGAAATATCTCGTTGCGCAAGATTTGGTTTTGTTGGATGTTGTGGTAGATGGGATTCTGGATCTATGACTTGGCAACAAAGTATTCATTCAATTAACCCCTAGTTTGTTGGGAATAAAACTCAGCTCGTCTTTGTTGTACCAAAAGAAATGAGAATAATCATCATTGTAAGAAGAAACTACTGAGTTTCTTGGATTTCTTAGACTAGTGTAATAACTAATAAATACTTGCTGGAAGACATCCATAAATAGTATTTTCATTTTATGATGGCCTTAAGTAATAAGAGATTGTAAGTACAAAAATATGTCAATTTTCGGTTTTCCTTTTTTTTTTTTTTGATAACCGTGGATGTTCGGGCCAGTTTGCGGGCACCTCGACTAATTCCACGGGGCCCTGAAGTTTACGGCCGGGTACTCACCTCAGTGGCCCTGTGGGGACTCGAACTGGTGACCATTGGGGAGCAAACTCAAGGCCTGACCAATTGAGCAACCCCTCAGGGTTGGTTTTCCTATTAAAGTTAACACCAAGTTTATTTCCTGACTGGTTGGCACATGACAGCTAATCTGCCGTATAAGTACTCTTCCAATCTATTTGCCGCAACCCTAAATTGTGAACAGTCAGAATAATTTGTCTTGCCTGGTCTCTCCGTAGCCAAAGGTATAGATTTATGACTGATTGATGCTTAGTTTCTATTCATTGTTTGAGAATGGCATATTGACGATTGGATTTATAGTCATCACAAAATCTGCTGTCAGTTAATGTTGTTGAACTCCAAAGTCACGTCTTCTCATTTTATCACGGAATGGTGTGGAATGCCATCTTCTGCTACCTGATTGGTTATAAATATATCTCATAATTGATAATCTAGTTCATGATTGGCCATTATTTTTTAGCCTTACAGTTTCTATATTTGTAGGATCAACATTTGGCAACTCCAGAGTTAAAAGGATATTAAATTGAAGCATCTGGCTCCAACGGGGGGACTTATTAAGGTGAATTTTGTGTTTCAATGTTTAAAGAGTTTAGAGGTGTGTATAGAAGTTTTTAAAATGCTACTTTTGATTCAGAAGGAAGAATTCATCGGTATAATATTAAAAACTAATGCAAAATTCATCTCTCTGTATCATTTGGGTCCACTTTTTCCAGTTAATTGCATGATTTTTGGGAACTAATACTTCATTTGAATTAATGACTCCGAAAACCTTGTAAATACTTGGTTTGGCCTGAGCTTTAGTACTACAGCATTATCCCTTATTTGAACATGTAAAGCGTTAGAAGCTGCATCCTTGCCTTTTTATCTGCTACTTCTCCAAGCCACCTCGGCTATTAAATCAAATATCTTTTCCAGGCATGTAGTGTACACATGTTAAACCCAACTTTTCTTATACAATTGATTTATCACTTTGGTTTATGCAGTGCACTGAATTTAATTTACAATATATGTGATTACTGTCTGCTTAAACAATTTTTTTTTTTCTTTTTTTGTCTTGTACTTCACTAGCATTTTGTTAGTTACACGCGGACGTGTTAAAGAGTTCCATGCATTTACCTAAGGCGGTATAGTGTTCTTACCAGAACTTTCATGCATAATTGCTGAAGAAACGTGTTAGATTGCTTGTAGTTTAATTTTACAACTTTTTCTTCAGGGGTACAGTATGTATCGTACACGTATTGTCTCCCTGATATTAGGATTTCAGGTATTGCTCCCGAATACTCGGACGGAGGTCATTTTGTTGGACGAGAATGGTGTGAGATATTATTTGAATATACTTTCTTAAATAACGCAAATGAATGTAGTTCGCACATTGAACAAAGAAGCCCCAATAAATTACTTTTTTGTCATCTCCAAAAAATTCTGTAGAAACTTTACATAGATCATCAAAGGAAAATACGAAAATAGATGAGGAACATGCAAGAATAATTCCAGGTTAGCATGAAAATCATCTAAGAAACTTCTGAAAAGAAAAGGTTACACAGAGAACAGCATGAAGACATCTTCATGTGGTTCAAAATTCAGCTCTGTAGCTATTCTTCTTCTACATCGGATTCAAGTTGGCTGTAATTTCCTTTGGCCTTGAATAGTTGCATATAGTTTGCTTGCAGTAGTCTTCCTTCATGTGCAGTATGGTTGGATGGACTTATGGTACAACCTCCATAGCAGCACTTGAAGCAGCTCCTGTGGTATGAAGCCCCATTGACAGTAACCATAGACAGAATAAACAAGTATTTTTCATAAAGCTATTGAAAGTTGACTAATTAAGCTTTTTCTACAATTGTCCGAGGACTGAGATAGAAAAGGAAAAAAGGCCTACTTTTTGTAAGTTTTCGAAACAATGCTAGATTATGTAAGAGATGAATGGGGGAGACATTTTCCTTGATAAGGGTATCTTAAACATTTAACGTCTTAAATGACCTTTTAAATGAAAAATTTGAGGCGCTTTTTCCACTCGATTCAGTGAAAATGTGCGCGTTTAGAATAATTTTCTTTTGTACCGAGGTATCCAAATTAAGGACAGATCACAATCTCTGTTGCTAACCAGTACCGAGGAGTAAATTATAACTTCTATGATCTATCTGACCTGAGAATTCAGAAGCTGAAATATGATGACATTTGCACTGTTTCTGTATACATCAATGCCATATTTTGTCATGTAACTAAGTGCTTATTACTTTCTCAATCGGATAAGCTGTCATATTACAACCAACACATTTGTCCCTGGTGCCTGCAAACAGACTTGAGACCTTGTTTGCATTCTGTTGAATATATTTCAAGTTAGTACTCAGAGCAAATTAAATAGACAATTTATTCAAAAGAGAAGAGAAAAGGAAAGGAAAAGGGTATTCAGTGACGGGGGAAAACAAAGTTAGACCCCAACACCCCATTGTGTATGATCTCGAAATTCAGATCATCTATTTTTCTAGCCAAGAAGCAAATTACCTCATTCTCAATGAGCTTTTCGGGTTTCAAGATTTTAGGTGTTCCTGGAAGAAATGTTAGCCAAGTGCAGAAAAAGAGAGATTTTGGGGGACATAATTACAGAAAAAAAAATGTAAATTAGAGTTTATTTATGGTTCTTCTACCTTCAAAACTCTTCTCTAGGCTGCCAGTTCTCTTGAAGAGCTGATCAAAGTGAAGCATGCAGTACACAACCCCCTCAAAGGAGTTGAAATTGCTGAGCTGAAAAGGACAATAAAATGAAACATTAGACCTACCTGGAATAGATAATTTAATTTGATTGGGATTGTTTAAATCAACAATGGCATGCTTAGTATCCTCAATTGAATCTCTCACATAAGATTAAAGAAGTGGGTTTCAAATTCTTGATGAGCCACTCTAATGAACTACTAATATAGATGATAAAACCACAGGCGGAATTTTCAAAGGAAATGAATTCCAATATCAGTTTGTTCCTAAAGTAGATGTATTAGAAAAAAAAAAAAAAAGATATACCGAACAAGATAAACATTTAAAGGATGTCATGAAAAACATATAATAATGGTTGCTGGGTCGTTATGCTCATTATTAAACTTGTTGAAGAAATGAAATATTTTAAGGTATATCTTTTTTATCAGAAGTTGAATTGATCATCAGAAAAAGAATTATGCCAAAAATTAGGGTGATTAAAAAGAATGTAGGTTACCTTCAGGGTATTATTGCAATGGTGGCACCGGAAGCAAGCTTTATGATATACCCGGTTGTCGGCCACCAGCCGATCTACCAAATATACAGTCTTGCTACAAAGAATTGCGGGTGAGGGAGGTGATAATTAAGGGATGGCATCCCCATTAAGTTGATGTAGAATGGGTTAAAAACATTGATCACTAAATTAAAACCCATTAATTTTTCTAACATGGGATCCAACGTAAGAAATACAACAATTTTATGAGGCATTAACATGAACGTCTTGAATGTTAGACATCAAAACAGATATCAGCTGATTAACCAAACTAAACCCCAAAGCAAACTTCAGTATCACATAGAAATAAAAGTTTGTAGACTAAAATAAAACTACTCCATAAATTTTATGATTTATCCAATGAAAAATGTCATCACTCTTGTTTTTCCATCACCTATTTTGATTCCAGCTAGGGGAATTCCTTTAGTCCTTAATCAACTAAAAGGGAATCGCAATTACCCAGTTTTACCACCTCCAAGAAGAACAAATATAAATGAAGTGCATTTTTGAAGTCAATACAGGGAAAATGAAACAGAAACATTTACTTAAACCATCAGTCCCCAATTTTTGGTACATTATTCATGAAAATTACATCAACCATCCACATATTTTGTCACACACTTACCAATCACACCCTTTAAAGTCCCAGGTAATGCAACGTAACGTAAGGTCAACTAACTCGAGTTCGCTGCAAATAAATAGTGTAGATAAGACTTGTAAACAGGTTGATGATCCATGGAACAGAGTAATTAAAACAACAGGGCATTTGGTCTAGTGGTATGATTCTCGCTTTGGGTGCGAGAGGTCCCGAGTTCGATTCTCGGAATGCCCCATTTTATGAATTAATTTTGTCAGTCAGCCAAATAGAACTTTTTTTTTCCTAGTCAACCTAGACAGCTCTGCTAGTAAATAAAAGAATCAAGACTGAAAAAAAGTTATCTAAAGTTGATTTCACAAGTGCTGAAGCTAGATTTAATAATGTGACCTTATTAAGACATAGTTGATACCACACTGGAAGGATTATATATTGTTTGACTTATTGCCTCAATAATGCAACATTATGAGGAAACAGTTACTGCCACTTAAAGGTCTAAATATTATTGATTCAGTTGCTTGCCTCAATTATGCAACTTTTGCATAAAAAATTATTGCCCCTACTGAAAGGTTTAAATAATGTTTGATTCTATCACTTCTAGAGTCGTCAGATCCAAAGTTTAAGAGGACCTCAGCACAAAGGTTGCTGACAAGATAATACTAAATATGGACCAAGAATTTAGAAAACGGAAAATTATTATGTCAAGGAAGAATCAAGATTCAACGTATTAATAATTAAATATAAACTGCATATTTTAGTAATATATAAAAACCAAATAACGGATGTATTTATAGACCACTACGGGAAAATAGAAATATTAAGTTTTGGCATCAAATAACTTAACAAGGTACAGAATTTTAAGCGAATTTAATTAATAACACTTAGCTAACCTGCACAATTCACTGTGCTCCATAGCATAATAGAGTACTAAAAAGAAGCAGCTATTGAAACAACGTGTCAGTGAGGAAATACCTGCATCATCAATAAGAAAAATAGTGTGATCTATTCAGCCCTCGTTTGGCCCCATAATCCCAAAAATTTATTCTTCTTTCTTATTTTCAACCACACAATCTTCCATAAAATAATATTACACATAAATCAAATACTTTTCCTTCTTTTTCAACCACACATTTTTCAAAAAATTATAATTTGAAATAATGGGGGCCAAACGGGGGCTCAATCTAATTAGATAATTAAGAGAATGTCAAATCGTGTAAATAAGCATTGAGCATGTACATGTGCACGTGTGGCAAGAAGGTGAATGTACGAAATTCAACAGTGAAACTCCAGCTTCTTGTCAGTCCTTGCCCAGCTTCACATGAAAACATTTTCAACCAGCACATGTATGTATATTTTTTTTTTCTTCCAGAGATCTGAGCAAAGCACGGAGTAGTGGCCAAGATGAAATGAAATGAAATTCTGCCAGTAGTTTATTCTACTGAAACAAGAGGCATACAGTATGAAGAAGCAACAAAATTTGGAAGAATAAATTATAGGTATTGTTATAACAATGATAGTGACATTGGAAAAATAAAATTTTCCTTCACTTGACTTACTAACCCAGTGTATACACTATTACTCGTGTGGATAAAATATTTAGCTGAGTTCTTAAAATCATCAGTAATTGGGCATCAGTAATCAGTAGTATGATTCTCGCTTTGGGTGCAAGAGGTTCTGAGTTCGGTTCTCGGAATGCCACAGTCAAAGTAAGGTGGTCATGAATCTTATAAGCCTCCCATCCGATTCACTTATTCTAGACGAGTAAAGAAGCATGACACACCAGCTGGCGGGAAAAGGGGAACTGCATTCTGTTGCAGGGTAAAGTAGTTAGGCAGAATTAGTTAGGGGAAAGTTATAGAGGTGGGAGAGTCTAGTGGCAGGCATAAATTGAGAGTAGAGAGGAGATAGTGGAGAGGTCTCATTTTTGGTTGGATTCCTAACAGAATTCTACATACTTTTTTCTTTCAAATAAATGTTAGGAAAACAAGAATGAAATATCATAAACAAAGTCAACTCAGTCATTATGCCAAAGTAGTAAAACAGATCTTCTCCAAGACACAGAGATAGATCAAACTAGGTTTAGGTCAACAGATTGCGGCCGAGGCCACACCATAAATATTAAAAGGTATGTTTACAAGTCAAGAAAAGCTTTAGCAGCACCAGCATCACAATAAACAATCCTGCACGAAATTACGACTCATTGAGCATTATAATATAATTACAGTTTCAAAAAAGGAACTTCAAAGCTCGTATGCAGTAGACACTTTTATCGTCCGAAACTAGAGAGCTCTCTGTTAACGGTAGCCTGTGAGTTCAATACTCCTTTGTCGACCAAGGGGATAGATCAAAGAGTTTTGTGAAATTTGCTTCTTGAAGCACAATAGTCAACAGCAAGAAGCAAATACAAGCTCCGAGGAACAAAACAATCAACTACAACAGGGCATTTGATCTAGTGATATTTTTCTCGCTTTGTGTGCAAGAGGTCCAGAGTTTGATTCTCGAAATTCCCCATTCTGAGTAAGGTGGTCATGATATTTTTATCTTCAACTATATTTCAGCAAAGCAAGGATGAAATATATAAATAAAGTCAACCAAGTCATTATGCCAAAGTGGGAAAAGAGGTCTTCTCAAAGACATAGATGCAACAAACAAGGGCTAGGTCAACTGATTGGGGCCGAGGACATACCATAAATACTAAAAACTACGAA